CATAAAGCCTCACAGGACAAATGGAGCCAGATGATAATCTATATGATCTCAGTGTGAAAGGACATCAGTAAGCTGACACAAAAACTTAAGGCGGATGATGTGAAGAGTCGTGAAGGGGATTTAGTTGTCAAACTGATGAAATGCTTTGTCCTTGTCTTTTGTGCTCAGAGGTAATTAAATCCCCTTTGCCCCGTGTGGGCCACTGTGGGTGATTATGGATGGAAGGCAATGTGGAGATCAATCTGCCAACCTCTGAAAGAAAAGGTACAGAGTAAGAGACAAAGGGAATAACAGTGACAGCGGTATCTACTAGAAAGATGTTCCCCCTTACAGCAGCCTCACATTAAAGCTGCAGGGACAGTGCATTGCTGCAGTGGAATATTTACACAGTCATTAAAGAGACTGAATGTGCACAGACTGAGGGGACGTTGCCTGTGTCAATACTGTTTTTAAGAAAGATTGGGGGAGGAGTAGCCTGTGTCAATACTGTTTTTAAGAAAGCTATGCGCATTTCAGTAGGAGACAAGCCACCGTGTCACCTGAGGACGGGATAATGAAATGTATTCCTAAACTTTGGCATTCTGTCCACATATGTGCACTGTTATCCCCACTTGAACAGTTACGTTTAACTTTTCACTGTGTACAACGGCAGGGATTTCTGAAGAGCTATAAACACATTTTCCTTCAGAGGTGGTTGAAACTAGTTTGTTTCTAGCATACACCAGTGTTTATTTTGGAATGGCAAATTGCTGATGAATTTTCTAAATGTCATTTGTATGCATACAAACATAAAGCCATTCACTTTCATTCATATTAGGATGGAGGCAGAACGCTTAAAATATTCGAAGTACTGCAAGTAAAAAAACGTCACTCATGCTGAAAATCAAGTCTGTCATTAACTGCCAAAATCATGTGTTTTTTTTTTTTTTTTTTGCAGTCCCAAGCCAAGAAACAGCCTCATAATCTTGATGAAAAAAGAAAACAGCATCTGTAAACTGATTCTGCCTCTCCTCTTTTAACACCAACCATCACTCCAGCTTTGTGTCCTCCATCCATTTTGCTGCCATTAAGTTGTTGTTATCTTGATGTTTGTGAGAGCCTCCATCAAAACCTTTATTTCTACAAGTCAATTTGTGGCAGAATGTTAAACATAGCATCCATCTTGGAAGAGGCTCCTAATGGCACATTTCCCCAGAGAGCACAGGAGGCCATTTACAACAACCAATCATAGGGGAAGCTAAGTCCTCTTTGTCAGTAATGAGACAGTGCAAAAAGGCAACGGCACATTCCTTCCCCCATCTTGACAAGTAGATTGATCATAGAAGAATCAAATATAAGTAAATATACAAGTTAAGGCATGGGATCTCACTATTATTCTACGCTTATCACTTTCAACCGCTTATGGTCAGATTGATTAAATACAGTATGTCCCCTGTGTGGCTCACTGTGGCTGATTACAGATGGATGTCAGTGTGGAGATCAATCTGTCATCTCTGAATGAAAAAGTACAAAAGGAATAGCATTGACAGGGGTGTCTACTAGAAAGATGCTTCCTCTTACAGTGGATTACTCAATGTCAGCTGAACTGCATGCTGAACATGCACACGTTTGACGCGCAAACAGAATCCTGTCAGCCTTGGGTAAGATGCATGGGGAGGTTTATAAAGGGCTCAGTGGGAGTGTTTTACTTTGTTAAATGCAAGCAGGGTAGTGGCCTGAAGCTCCTGAAGGCAGTCACAGTGTGACTTCTCTCGCCCACCTTTAAGAAAGCTTTTAATTACTCTAACAGTCTGATTTCTTATTTCAGCCTGAGCTCAAACACTCATAAGGTAAATGGGTAGTATGAGCTGCAATCAGTTAAGAAAAAAAGGTGGATAAAGAACCAATATGTCAATTAGTGGACATATGTCTTGTTAGAAGGGAAACATTGTCTCAGTATTTTCTTTTTTTGTTGCTAATTCCACTTCAGAAAGTCCTGGGAAATGGCTGGTAAGAAAGAAAAAAATGAACAGAACCGATTTTATCTGAAAAACACCTGAAATGAGGCATAAAAGGTGAGTTATCAAACTATATTGAGCTCATTACCTGAAAATATAAATTCAGAGACTTTGTGATTATGACATAAATGCCAAGTAATTAATTTACTATTATGCACTAATGAGCAGCTATCAAAGATGATTATGTCTTCATTATTACAACACCAAGCCAAAAAGGTTAAAGTAATCATTAAGGATGTGAAAACCTTGCCTCTGACCTTTTAGATTTCCGTGTCAGTCAGTCAGCATTAGCCGACAGCAGAGCAGTGTGAGCTTCATTCCACGATACTGATCAGGGGAAAACACTCTGAACACCCTATGACACACTTAATGTACAAACACCATAGCCTGCAGTGTTTGTAAAAGCAGATGGAGATTAAATGTGTTGCTCAAAGAGCAGCAGTAGTTGTTAGGGTAGAGCAGAGTGCACTTGTTCACTTTCCCCAAAACAAATGCTTCCACCCAGAGGGAATTCTTCTAAGAGGAAATCGAGAATTGATCCATCAATCTGTTCACAAATCTACTTCCACAACCTTTAACCTCCAGGATACAATTCAGAGGCAGAATGAAAGCCATATATAAAAGCTTTGACGTTTTCCTTCTGCTCTTTTGGGAAGCATTTACAAACTACATTTAATTTTTATAAGTAACAGCCTGCAGAGGAGACAATATTTCATATTTATAGGAGTAATAAATTATTTTGGGGGCACTTACTGTGATCAAGGCTTGATGACAGGGGTGAGTTGATAGGCAAGATACACACACACACACACACACACACACACACACACACACACACACACACACACAGAGTATGAGAGCCCTAAAGAAAGACACAAAGAGAGAGATTTAAACACGTCCAGAAGAGGTCAGCTGGAAGGCTCTCGGATTGCACTTCCCACACACTCCCACATGCTCAACATCATTAAAAACAAAAAGGCACGACTAGAAGTAGCACTGCCATCCTTGCTGCAACCAACAATAAAGTGAGACAGATCTGTTAGAGTGAGTATTCACCATGAATTTCAAATCATATCAAGGAAGGACGGATGAGCACTTTCAGTTCCTATGAGTCTTCTTGGGCTAAATGCCTCATCATTATCAATCACTTTGAGAGTGGGTGATTATTTTATATTAGGCTATTCTACCTGGAGATTATGTGAATTAATATAATCACAATATATTAGCATCAGCACTTGCGTTGACATATTTTTGGCTGGGATCTGCAAAGTAAATTTCTGCTTAGTGCTGCCAATAAAAATAAAAATAAAAAATCTAATTTAAGCACTGTCTGTGTTTAATATTTATTTAGTATGTTACGCCATCCAGTGGGCTGGATAATGTCCAAACCACTGCTGGATAAAAGAAGGAATGGTAACATTTTATTTTGGGATTTGATACAGTGGTACGTTTTAATTTAAGGCAAGATTTTAATGGAATGACTACCACAAAACATCCACATCATGATTTTATAAGGCCAAGCTCACTGACAGTTAAAGAGTGTGAGAGCTTCATACACTGCACAAGTCGCCTCCTCCAAAAAGATGATACGTTGAAAAGATACTCCAGCTTCTCATTACACAGCTGGGGGTTTCCTGTTAAGATCACCCAAAAAGAGGAGTTTGTCTCATCTGGCAGCCCTGAGGGGAGATGCTGCAGCTGATTCTGACTGAGCAGCAGCATTTCAAGGTGCCAGAGGTCCTGGAGCAGGATTGCTGCTCAGATAGTTTCAGGTTGTGGGTGAAAGTTTCAGGTTTCAGAGAAATTAATGCGATCCCAGCGAGGTTCAGTGACTCCAAGCAGTGCAGGGTTCTCAGGGCGTCCTGCTGTAGCTTTTGCGGGTTGTTTTGGCTAAAGTCTAGATTCTCCAACTGGGGCAGCTTCTACAACAGAGCAGCTGGGTTGCTGGTTAAACGATTCCCAGACCAGTCCAACTAGCTGAGTTAGGTGCCACAGCATCTGCTGTTGTTGTGAGATTACATTACAAAGAGAGCCATGGCTCAAAATATTTGGAGGCAAATGACCTGTGAGATTCAGCTGTTCAAGCGAGGAATGACAGATCTGAGGGAAGGCTTGTCATGCTGTTGTGATACAGCTGGAGGTTGTTTAAAAGGGACACAACATTCAAATGATCGGCTGTAATATTGGTGGACTTGACAGCCAAGTTGACTGGTGTTGGGAGGCAAACCATCTACAGGGAAATGTGTAAGGGAGCTCTGGTTGCACACCACCTCTGCACCGGAAGGTGGAAAGGAACAGGAGCAGGAGTGGGTGCCTCTTTTTTTGGTAGCGGCATTCATCCTGTGCAGTGAAAGTCAGGAGGACCCACGAGTACATCTTTAAACACTGCATAGAGAAAATATACACAATTAAAGTGCAAATGTAATTATTTAAACTGTGAAAATCTGATCATAAATACATAATCACACCTGAAAGGCCCAGTAGAACTCCATATGAACAAAGTTTATATATTGTTGAGCATATTTGCTCCCAGTGATCGATGGCTCAGTACAAAATGTTGCAAGAAGCAAACAAAGCCAAGTAAACAAACCAGTTCATCACCTACTGACTGGCTACTGTTTTGTACTTTATAAAAGAAATGATGTCACCACCCATAAATTAATATTTTTTTTATTCCTGTAAGAATATTTTATGCAAAAACATAACTGTCATATATGAAACTAAGCTGGTCTCTTAGCTACTGTATAGCTGTACATTTAGTGCACAGACAGAGTGAATCAGAGTCATTCTTCTCATCTACCTCTTGGCAATAAAGAAACAAGTGTATTTTCCATTATGTTTAACTTTTCCCTTCACTGCACAGTGCAAAGAAGGACACCAATTCTTAAACACTCTTTTCCCATATTTTCTTTAATTACGTACTCACAGTACACTAACAAATGAGAACGTTTCAGTGACTGAAAAATACGCTGTATCATATCAGATACTATCAATTTGAGAACGTTAAGACTGAAGCTTTAGATCACTATCTGTCAGTGACATGACAGAGCGCCCTGCTAGAGACTGAGGTCCAGCACATATGATGGTTTCTGGCAGGAAGACCTTCATATGGTTCTTCTGAAGCCACCTCCAGAGGTACTCCACCTTCGTATCACACAGCCAGGGGTTGCTGGTCAGGTCCAACCCCTGCTCATCCAGGGAGCTCAGCTGGTCCAGCAAACCTGAAGGGATGTGGCTCAGCTGATTTTCCTCCAGACTCAGAACTCTGAGCTGAGCGAGCTCTTGAAAAAGGTTGTGGGAGAGTTTGTCAAGCTTGTTGTGAGAGAGGAACAGGTAGGTGAGGTTACGGGTGTGCTGAAGTACTGATGCATCCAGCATGTCTACCTTGTTGTTCTGCAGGTTTAGCCTTTCAAGCTTGGTCAGTGAGTCCAGAGAATTTGCAGAGATCTTCTCCAGCTGGTTATTGGAAAGGTCCAGAATCTCCAGACGGGGCAGCTTCTGGAGCAAAGCAGTTGGGATCTTTGTCAGACGGTTTCCAGATAAGTCCAGCCAGGTGAGGCTGCTGTTATCAGGAAGCCACTCGGCATCTGCATTTTCAATCAGATTATTCTTCAGCACCAAGCTCCGGAGCGCGGTGTGGCTAAAAACATCTGCTGGCTGGTCTGTCAGTTGGTTTCCGGTGAGATCCAAAGTGTGGAGGTGAGGAACACCCCTGAGAAGATGAGGGGAAAGGTTTTGCAGGTGGTTACTGTACAAGTGGAGCTCTTGCAGCAGGGGTGTGGCATTCAGATGGCACTCGGAGATTGAGGTGATGTTTGTGAACTGGATTGTGAGCAGGACGGTGTTCTTTGGGAGACCCTCAGTGGGGTACTCTGTCAGGGAAACCTCATTGCAGACCACCTCAGCTCTTCTGGGATAGCATTTGCAAAGAGCCGGGCAGGACAGTGTGCCATGCCAGAAATATGCCAACCAGAAGAAGGTGAGGGCACACCAGGCATTCATTACTAGGACACGACAAAAGGGAGGACACAGAAAATTAAATCTGAAAACAACAGAAAGCTTTTGCACAAATTTAAATATTTCACCACTACAAAACTTCTGACCACAAATCAAACCAGTACAAATGACAAATTATTCAGAGTCACAGAAGAAGACTTACTCTTGTTTTTTAACTAATCATTACTTGCTGAGTAAACAAGGACTCATCACTAAACAGTCATTTGTCAAGGACGGACAGTTGCAACAGACTGAGTGGCTCCAACCTGTGGGAAAGTACAAAACCTGGACAGTTAGTATATGCTGTTTGTTAAATTTAAAAAAACCCCATCAGATTCTGAAGTATAACGCTGAAAACTGTTTTAATCTGAGCATGAGGCTATTTTATGACTTTTAAATGTATCAACTGTAAATTAAATTAAATTTATTCATGATACCGAGGAGAAACAGCAGAAGGCTGCGTGCCACCTGAGTTCACAGCGGTCTGTACAGCAGGCAGGTTGAACAGGCAGTCACACAGCTGATAAAGTGGATTAGACCCACAGCATGAAATATGATTTAGACCGATGTGCAACATGATGAACCATTACATTATGTATGATGAGTGCCGGTTTGCTTTAGGCTGTTCTGAAAGATTTGTTTCAGTCAAGCCCATTCACCACACACGCACTAGTGAGACAGCGATGGCCCTAATCTAGTATAGTTCAAACAGTTACCCAAAATATTCTGTAGTCAACTCTGAAGGATCAGTATTGCTGTGTGTGTGTGTGTGTGTGTGTGTATTTATGTCAGTGAAAATCTATCATAACATTATATCATGGTCTTTTCATACATTTTGGTATTGTCTTAGGCTCCAGTTCCTTTTAACATACAACATATGTTAACCATAAATACACTTTTTAAAAAACATAAAGAAGA